AAAAAAGGGGAATAGAACTTGTCACCATCATCAGTCCTTTATTTCATTCACTGGAGGACATCATAACCTTCAGATGTGTCATATCAGGATAAATGCTGCTGCAGGGAAAATTATATGAAGGTTGGTTTGATTGTGGTGTACAAATTGGCTTTTTTTTAAGCTGCAGTTGTGTTTACCATGCTATGATATCTATGGAAAGGGTCAATTTTTGTGAATCCTATTTGTCTTTTTTTGGGGGATTCACATTTTTCTGATGGGATTGTCATGCATTAGGTTTATGTTTAAATTTTGAATCATTACTTACAGTTTTAAAGATGACAATTTGTTTATGTTGTCTAAATGGCTTATAATGGCAAATGGCAGTACAATTTAAATACATTTTGTTTAAGATTGTTTAAAAGAATGGTAAAAAAAATCATTCTTTTTAAGGACTCGTCAGCCTCACCCCACTCCAGATTCACCAAGGATCCAGCTGAAGCCCCGTTCACACTACAAGCGACACGCAACGTCAAAGCAACACGATCCCATTCATTTCAATGGAGAGCTGGCGATTTCCGGTGACAAGAGCGACTGAGGTCGTTGGCGACTGGATGGGGCTTGTCCAGCGACGCGACAAAGTTCAGAATCCTTCAACTTAATGCAAATGAAGAGTACTTTCGGGAGCGACAACCGATAGGAAAGAAGATGGTAGAGCTCATGTGAGGGTTCTTCTCTCAGCCGTAGATAAACATACGCAATGGAAAAAAGTAGGCTCTGCTTCTCATTCATTTTTGTTTGTATGTACAGATTTAATTTGTATTTGTTATATTTAGTCTTTTGCCTCCAAAATGTTTGTAATTAGCGGCAAGAAACCTGATTCGCTGTGAAGGCAACCAGTAGTGAGAACGCCCACTAGCAACCTCATCGCCAGCCCGTGACGCAGCTTGATTACTGGCCACTTGGAGGAGGATTGTCCTTTATCTGCTACACTGCACTGTCACTTCTGGTATGGATTCACTGACCTTTTGTGATATGTGAGATGTTTTGATTTTACTAAATGTAATAATTTTACTTAATTTGATTTTACATAATTTACTTAAAGGGACAGTTCACCCCAAAATGAAAGTTCTACCATCATTTACCCTTCATCACCCTTATGTTTTTCCAAACCTGTATGAATTTCTTTCTTCTGTTGAAGACAAAAAGATATTTTGAAGAATGGTGATAACCAAACAGTTCATAGTAGCCATTGACTTCCATACAGTAGTAGGAAAAAAATTACTGTGGAAATCAATGGGGCCCGTCAACTGATTTGGTGAGTAAATGATGACATAATTTTTATTTTTGAGTGAACTATCCCTTTAATACAATGTATAATTATGATTCTGAATTAAGTGTAATGTTTCTCTAAAAATATTATCAGAAATATATGGAGACGCATATATTATCAGAAATTAGAGCTGCACGATTAATCGTTAAAAGATCATAATCTAGGTCCAAACCCCATTTACACTTATTCCTAAATGACAACGATTGTTGTTGTCGCACCGTGTCTACACCAGACGTGTAAACACTTTGGTTTTTACTCTGTTGTTTTCTTTACTGTAGGGGAGGGCAGCATCCTCATACATCATGTTCCTGACAAAGTTTAAAATGTCCCTTTTTTTTTTT